CATGGACATACTGGTGTCTGTCATTAAGATAGGATTTTAGGTAGTCAAGGTGTATGTCATACACCTATAGATATGCCACCTGCCATCATTTTAGATCTTAACCATTTACGTTCCTTACCTTCTTCTCATCCCTGCAAAAAATCTACACTTGGTATCACAGATTAACAAGTACATATAATAATCAGGACCTCTCATGCCACCACCAGTTTCTCTGCCATATCAACTTCGTGATATTAATAATAGATTTTACCTAAGATAACCCAGTTAAGTCAAAAGAACGTGATTTATTTCCATGTTTTGAGAAGTATTACACCTTGAACCAATGGTAATGTCATAAGATTTCCATGTACATAATGCTCTAAGTTAAAAACTATAGAAATAAAAAACAAATGTACCATTTTACAGTGAATATTTCAAACGGGGCTGTGGTATGCTGTGCATCTTGGCATATTTCAAGTATGTACTAAAACCTTGAAACACTCCTATTATCCCAACAAGGTAGTGTACAGTGTTAGATATTTAAAAATACAATGGTCCCCTGGTTATTGGCCGTAATCCGTTCCTGAAGGTCAGCCGATAACCGAATTAATATTTCCCATAAGAATTAATGGAAATAAAATTAATTTGTTCCAAACAAAAATATTCACAAAAAAAAAAAAAAAAAATATTCAATTATGTAAGTGTTACATACCTTTATTGAAGGCTAATGCTGGCTTCTGGATGACAGGGAGGAGGAAAGAGGGAGGAGTTAGTGTTTGGAAGGGGAATCCCCCTCCATGAAGACCTTAGGTAGCAATGCCTTGTCTGGGGTTACTTCCCTTCTCTGTCTTTTAATACCACTAGAACCAGCTTGAGAGTCACTGGACCCCTGTCTCACAAAATAACTGTCCAGAGTGCTCTGTTTCTGGCATCTCTTTAAGATTTCCCTGAAGTGGGACAGGGTTTTGTCACTAAACATGTTGCAAATATGGCTTGTTTCAGCTTTGTCAGGGTGGTGCTTCTCTCCAAAAGATTGCACCCTGGTCCACATTGAACACACCTCTTTAATCTCTGAAGAAGGCAGCTCCTTCACTCCCTCTTCCTCCTCCTCCGAAGCAGTCTGTTGCTGTTCAAGTTGAAGCTCTTGCAGCTCTTCAGTGGTAAGCTCTTCCCTGTGGTCCTCCACCAACTCTTCCACATCCTTACCACTCACCTCCAACCCCAGGGACTTCCCCAAAGGCACAATAGAGTCCACAGGGTTGGCAGGGCCAGGGTCACGGTGAGTCTCAAACCCTTCAAATCCCTCTCTTGGACACAATCTGGCCACAGTTTTCTCCAAGCAGAGTTCAAAGTCCTGGAAGTCACTCCCTCCCAAGCCTTACCTATAAGGCTTATGCATTGGAGGATAGTGAAGTGATTCCTCCAGAACTCTCTTAGGGTCAACTGAGTGTCTGAGGTCACTTCAAAGCACTTTTGAAACACTGCTTTTGTGTAGAGTTTTTGAAATTAGAAATGACCTGCTTGTCCATGGGCTGGAGGAGAAGAGTGGTGTTAGGAGGCAAGAACTTCACTTTTATAAAACTTAAGTCCCTAAACACTTGGTCTTCCAAGTCTGGAGGATGTGCAGGAGCATTGTCCAGTAACAGGAGGCACTTGAGTGGCAATTTCTTTTCCAGGAGGTATTTTTTCACACTTCGGCCAAATACATCATTAACCCACTCTTTGAAAATTTGCCTTGTGACCCATGCCTTATGATTAGCTTTCCACATCACACACAATCTATTCTTCATGACATTGTTTTTCTTAAACACACTGGGATTTTCTGAGTGATACACAAGTAAAGGCTTCACTTTGAAATCCCCACTAAGATTACCACAAAACAAAAGAGTAAGCCTGTCTTTCATAGGCTTGTGTCCTGGCAGTGCCTTTTCCTCTTGGGTAATGTAGGTCCTGTTTGGCATTTTCTTCCAAAACAGGTCTGTTTCATCACAATTGAAAACTTGTTGGGGTTCAAATCCTTCAGCCTTTACATAGTCCTGGAATTCGTGAACATACTTTTCAACCGCACATTTGTCAGAACATGCAGCCTCACCATGCCTTACTACACTGTGTATGCCACTACGCTTCTTAAATCTATCAAACCATCCTTTGCTTGCCCTAAATTCACAAACTGCAGCACTTGTTCCAGGCATTTTCTTTGCAAGATCCTCATGCAACTGCTTTGTCTTCTCACAAATGATCGGCTCCACTACACTGTCTCTCACTAATTCTTTTTCCTTAATCCACAATAATAATAATTTTTCCATCTCTTCCATTATTGGTGTCCTTTGTTTAGTTAGAAGAGCTACTCCTTTTGCCACAATACCTTCTTTGATTTGTTCTTTCTTTGCCAAGATGGATGTAATTGTTGATTTATTCTTGCTGTACATCCTGGCAAGTTCCACCACCTTCATACCACTCTCGAATTTTTCTATCACTTCACGCTTGAATTCCATGGTGTTTCTCACTTTCTTTACTACAGGAACTTTAGGAACTTTCTTTGGAGCCATGGTTACTTATTTCATAATTGCACTGCAAGAAAAGCCACTAAAAACAATGGTAAACAAGCGAAATGTTTGGATGTATGAGCAGAAGCTTCCTCAGCCACCGAGAGACGAAGCCAAACTGAAGCACAAGCTGCCCCAGCCGGCGGATGGACGTGTCCAAAACGGCTGATAACTGAGCAAACGGCCAATAACCGAGCGCCGAAAACCCTGCTGATAACCGAGTTGGCCGATAATCGGGGGTCCACTGTAACATTATTTTAAAACACTCATAATCTAGCATACAGTAGACAGTTATATTACATGGATTTATTTGCCATGTTTTGGTTATTGTACTATTGAAAAATTGCGACACAATTTTATACAACAATTGTTAAAATGAACTTAACACGTTCCATTTGCGGGAACTGCAACAGAGCTGCCGCCTTGTTGTGGCTCAGCAGGGGAGACCTACCCTCATCCCCTGCCACCCCCGTAAAACCTGCCACCCCATCGCAGCCTTTGTGAATACATGTCCAGTACAAATGCTCCTTAGGAGCTAGCTGTGTTTGTGAATTGTGTTTTGAACTTTTAATTGTCATATCTTGTACACATCTGCCAAGCAATCATGGCACCCAATAGGCATACGAGTGTTACTGAAAGTGGCAAGAACAGGTATGAGCGTTTAGGTCTTAGAGATAATGAAGAAAATAGAGATATTAGACAAGAGATAACCTATGACCTTAATGAAGCATCAGTTTGTACAATTAAAAAGAATGAGGTAAATATGAGTTTGTGTGATGAATAACTGACTTGACTGACAGACTTGACTGATTTACTAACTGACTTTACTAACTTGACTTACTGACTGACTGGACTGACTTAATTGGTTTACTGACTGACTGACTTAAAGTTAGACTATTTCATTGAAGAGGACCCTGACAAATCTAAAAGCAGTGCTCTAATAAGGTGTCTAGAGCAGCTGATGCTTTACCGTCACCTCCAGCTGCCGCCATGTTGTGGGTCAGCAGGGGAGACCTACCACCATCCCCTGCCACCCCCAACATTCTCACCCCCCTCCTCCGAGCCTTCGTTAATACCTGTTCAGTTCCATTCTGTCTTAGCAGCTAGGTGTGTTTGTGAATTGTTTTGATATTTTAATTGCCATAACTTGTCTGCCAAGCAAGTATGGCACCCAGTAGGCATACAAGTGTTGCTGAAAGTGATAAGAAAAGATATAAGCATTTAAGTCTTAGAGATAATGAAGAAAATAGAGATATTAGACAAGAGATAGCCTATGGCCTTAATGAAGTGTCACTTTTTACAGTTAAAAAGAATGAGGTATATATATATACTATATGAGTTTGTGATTAATAACTGACTGACTGATTTATTTGACTGACTTACTTGACTAACTGACTGACTGATTTGACTGGCTTACTGACTTAGACTTTTTCACTGAAGAAGATCCTGACAAATCTAGAAGCAGCGCTCTGAAATGGTGTCTAGTGCAGCTGATGCCTTACCATCAGCTGTATAATGTACTGCAGGGTACAATAAACAGAAATCCATTACAGAATTTATGCACACTCCAGTACAACCATTGACTTCAGTACCAGAACTTCTACCATCCACCTCATCCCAGTAGGGCCACAGCATAACTTTCCACTCTCTTCACAATCATCGACAAAACCAGCACCCTCAATTTCAGGTAAGAAATGCTATTATTTCTGTTGCATTTATAGTCTTAAGCAGTAAAAACAACATTATATATCACAACAATGAATAACAACTACATATTCACTTTTATTTTTGTAAGATCTGGAGGTCTAAAAAAAAATTGTTCTTTGGCTTTGTGGGGAAATCTCAGGAACGTAACCCTATTTTTCCCATAAGTTCTTCAGTTTATCTAACATGGATTTACCTGACACAGTGCTTTCAGGAACATAACTACCATGTGACGCTTCAACTGTTCAAACATAGATCTACGTTTTTGCGCGTAGTGCTCCAACCTTGATTTTCTCCATAAGACAGCATGTAAAAAATGTAGATCTACATTCAGAGCCCTACGCAAGCAAATGTAGATCTACATTTGGACAGTTGAAGGGGTAATATAACAGTCTAATGTAAACAAATTGGAAAACACAACTACTGTTGTGCCCCTTTTACACCAAGTGTTGCCAATGAGTGATCATTGTTGTCGAATTTTAAACACCGTAAAAGTAAGTTTTCGGTTGATCTCGATTTTTTCATACTTCTCTATAGGAAAATGGGTTCTTTAAAAGTTTTATTTAAGAAAATGCAGTAAACATCATTGTTAGAGTTGCATACTTGTCTTGGGATAAAGTGGGCTAGATTCTTCACTTTCATTTGTTAAATAAATATTCTCACTAGGGTATAATTAAGAATTGGGCAGTATTGTTTTTTACAAATTGCTAGAATTTTATGATGATAAATGTAAGTATAGAGCTAAAGTATAATTTTTTTTTTTATATCTAGGACGGTCCAATGAATAATGAAGAAAGTCCCAGGCGTGACTTTGATGAACTGAGTGTAGCCTCTGACTTCAGCATCATACCAGAAAGTTTTGTGAGTGTGAAGGATATGCTTCTTTGCATATTTTATTTTACCTATTTACTTAATTAGTATACACATATGTATGTACACATTTAAAAGTTAAAATTCTATTTACATTGAAATTATTATTTTTTTTTTTTTGTTTTTTTTTGTAATTCATTTTAAGCGCTTAACCCATGTGGGTCATTCAGCGCAAGACGTGGTGAAGGCTTGATCCTCTGTCTACTGAGCGCCTGACAGACGCGCTTCCTATTTGTACTCACCTATCCTATTGAAATTAATGTTAAAAGTAATGTATACAGGAGGGCCCTGCTTTACAGTGCTTTGCTCAACAGCATTTCACTAATGCAGCAGTTTTCATTTATACCCATTCTTCATTTATTCAGACTTCCTACAATAAATATGTTCACCACTCACTGTAAGCTAAGGATGAAAATATTTTGAGGTAAGTAATGTGTGTACTGTGCATACATTTTTTTTTTAGGCCTAGCTCTGTTGCTTAATATATGATGGTGTAAACATGGTATCAGGCTTTTACATATAGTACATTTGAAAGTGAAAAAAAGGCTATACGTATTTCACTTTACAGCAATTTTTGCTTTACATTGGTAGCCCGGAACCTAACCTGCTGTATAAATGGGGCTTTCCTGTATAGCGTTTTTTGCTAAGCTAAAAATAAGTTATATTAATATGGTAAGTTTATTGATAATACAGTGGAACCTCTACTTGCGAATTTAATCCGTTCCATGACCTTGCTCGCAACTGGATTTGCTCGTTTGCAGAGTCAGTTTTCCTCATTTAAATTAATTGAAATGCAATCAATCCATTCCAGTGGAATTCTGTACTTCAATAATTTCGCTAATATCAACTCTATGGCTTATTTATCTATCTCACTTCATCTAATATGACATAATAAACAATATAAATAACATAGAAACCTGATATATACTCTAAAATGAATGAAATATGTCATTCATGTAGTGGTATGGGTGGTGGAGGAGAGTTTGTCTGGACACCGGGCAAAATACTTCATGAATAATTTTGCTAATATCATCTATACTGCTTATTTATCTATTACAGTTCATCTAGTATGACATAACAAACAATATGAATAACCTAGATGCATGATATATACTCTAGAATGAATAAAATTTGCCATTCATGTAGTGGAATGGGCGGTGTCGGCGGTGGACGAGAGTTTGTCTGGAGATCGGGCAAAATACTTCATGAATAATTTTGCTAATATCACCTATATGGCTTATTTATATATCACAGTTCATCTAATATGACATAACATACAATATAAATAACATAGAAACACGATATATACTCTAGAATGAATAAAATATGTCATTATGTAACAGGTGGAGGCGGCCACAACCGCTCCCTCTTTGTTGTGGTAAACACTGCCATCTAGTGACAGCCTTTTGAAGCCATCTTTTATTATAATTATTATATGTAGTACATTGTTATTATATATGTATTATTATTATACATTATCATTATTATTATTATTGTATTATACTATTATTATTATTGTATTATACTATTATTATTATTGTATTATACTATTATTATTATTATACGTATTGTTATTATTCATATTATTATTATACATATTATTATTATACATATTATTATTATACATAATTATTATTATTATATTGTTATTATTATATAAATTATTTGTAATTTTTATTCACACAAAATATATAAGATTTACTGTTATTCTTTATTGCAATAATTGTATAAATATGTCAACCCATTCATGACAGCCAAGCAATGGACCATTTCTCCTAGGTTGAGCTCAATTTCAAGGCACTTTTTGTCATGAAAGCAATCAAAATCATATCTATTTCTGTAATATATCTTACATTCTATCAAATGAGACCAAAAACATGAGAATACAACCATAAAAACCATTCGAAATTACCACCAAGGGGTGGCTAATTGCTGAGAAGTGAACTCCATTATTTATGCTTAGATTTCTTTCATTTTTGGTGTACGTTAAGAAGCATCTTTCCATCATACATTGCCCAAGTTTCAATAAGATAGTCCAACAAACAAATGAGATACAATTCCCGAGATCAAGAGCAAGGGCCCCTCACCTTGAGGTCTGCTCGCTTGTGGAAATTTTGCTCGCGTATGGAAGCAAAAAATCGACCCATTGACTGCTCGTATTTGGAAAAACTCGCACGTGGACACGCTCACAAGTAGAGGTTCCACTGTATAAAGTGTTCATATTACAGAGTTTGAAGGCTGTTTGATCATGGTTTATACAAGCAAATTAAAAAATTAATCTTAAATAATGTTTGTCATAATTACTTATAACCAAAGGCAGGACTATTTCTATTTGATGGTTTCTGTATTCACCACTATACTGTAATTTGATATATAAATTGATTTTTTTTTAATTTGAAATAAGGTGATTGAAGTGATGCTGTATAACTAAAATTTTATTTTCAGACTGTTTCCTTTAACTTTAAAAAAATATTGACTAGTATTATTGTATAGTATAGATTTAGTTTGTATAGGTAGATTATTCCATATCTTTCGATCCATTTATTTCCATAGAATTTCTACCTAGATTCAGTAGTACACATGAGGTATCAGAGACGTTTCAGGTTTCCCTCTTTCTATGCTAATTCACTATGTAAATTCAATATTATGAAATGTTTTATTTTTATCTGTAATTCTCTTTATGCAATGAATATAATCCAGAGAATCTGTAGTTTGGAAAATAGGAAGAGGTCTGGGGTTACTAAAAATATTACCCAGAGGGTTGAGGAGGGGTTCTGGAGGTGGTTTGGACATTGAGAGGGGATGGAACGAAATAGAATGACTTGGAGAGTGTATAAATCTGTAATAGAAGGAAGGTGGGGTAGGAGTCGGCCTAGGAAAGGTTAGTAAGTAAGTAAGTAAGTTTATTCAGGTATACACAAATACAGTTACATAAATTATCATACATAGCGGCATATGTGTAGAGAACCTAGGATAATCCAGAAAAGTCAGACAAAGTGACTTATTTCCATTGAGGTCCTTTAGAGGGACATTTTGGGCAGACTAAACCTAATGCTTACAGACTACTTAATACTAGACATATAAGGAGTAGTAAATTTTAATTATACATCGTTTTTCTTATTACAACAGAGGTAGCTAATGGTTTACAATAATTGAATTTATAGTTGAGATGAGGTATATAAAAGATTACAGCATTACAATTTAGCACAGTTTACAGTAATAAGATTGAAACAGTTTTAAGTATGAAATAATGATTAACTAATTGAGCAGTCGTAAATTATTTGGGAATTTTTTGGAGGCAAAGAGGGGAATGTATGAGAGTATAAGTTTTACCCAACGCTCTTATTGGGTGTGAAGCGTGGGTATGAATGTTGCAGCGATGAGAAGGCTGGAGCAGTGGAAGATTCATGTTGAGGGCAATGTGGGTGTGATATAATGCAGAATTGAAGTTTGGAAGTTAGGAGGAGGTCGGATTACAAAACTGTTGTCACAGAGGGCTGAGGAAGGGTTGTTGAGGTGGTACGACATGTAGAGAGAATGGAGCGAAACAGAAATGACTTCATAGAGTGACAGTCTGTAGTGGAAGGAAGCGGTAGGGTCGGTCCAGGAAGGGTTGGAGGAGGGGGTCAAAGGAGTTTTTGTGCGAGGTGCTTGATTCAGCAGGCATGCGGAGGTTTTGAAGGAGTGAATGGAGAACAATGGTTTTTAATACTTGACTGCGTATGGAGTGTAGCAAAGTTAACATTTATGAAGGGATTCAGAAACCGCAGGCGGACTTGAGTCCTGGAGATGGTAAGTAAGTCTGCATTGAAGTAGGGGTGTAATGTTGCAGTTTAAAAACTGTAGTGTAAGCATCCATTTGCAAGACAGTTGATGGAGTGAATGAGATTGAAAGTTTTTTTTTTGGGCCAATCCCTGCTTGTGGAATCGGCTAGTGTAATAAAAAAATATAAAAAATTTTTGAGTTACTGGTAGGTGATAACGTATAGTGTTTGTTTGGTTAATTTTGGGAGATGAGGTGATTTCTAAGTAGAGCCTTAAATTAGATTTGCAGGCATGGGCCCTTTTGTATGTTCAGGCAGTGAATTCCAGATCTTCAGGCCTTTATGTGTATAGCATTTTTGCATAGGGAGAGATGGACATGAGGGATATCAATGTGTTTTGTGCCTTGTATTATGCCTGTGCGTTCTGTTGTAGTTATCAAGGAGTTTGAGAGGAGGGTTTATATTGGGGTATAATGTTCTGTGTATGTAGTAGGCACAATAATATGTGTGGATATTATGTATATTACAGTAGACCATTATGTTACACAGTAGCTACGTTCATGAAAACGCCGTGTTAGGTAACTCTATGTCAGATAAACTGAAGAGCTTGTGGGAAAAATAAGGTTACGTTCCTGGGAGCCCCAAAAAAGCAAAATGACTTTTTTTTAGACCTCCAGATCTTACAAAAATGAAAGTGAGTATGTAATTGTAGTTCATTATCATGATGTATCATGTTTTTACTGCTTAAGACCACAAATGCAGCAGAAACAATAGTATTTCTTACCTTATATTATGGGTGCTGGTGTTTGTCGATGATTGTGAAGAGAGTGTAGAGTTATCTTTGGCCCTAAGGGCTGAGGTGGATGGTAGAGGTTCTAGTACAAGTCGATGGTTTACTGGAGTGTGCATAAACTATAATGGATTTCTGTTCTGTTTTACCTTCAGTTCATTATAAAGCTATTGGTAAGGCATCAGCTGCTCTAGATAATGTTTCAGAGCACTAATTCTTTTCAGTGAAAAAGTCTAACTTTAAGTCAGTAAATCAGTCAAGTCAGTAAAGTTAGTCAAGTCAGTCAGTCAAGTAAGTCTTGTGAGTCAGTAAAGTCAGTCATGGCAGTCAGTCAAGTAAGTCTGCCAGTCAGTCAAGTCAGTTATTCATCACACAAACTCGTATATTTACCTCATTCTTTTTCATTGTACAAATTGATGCTTCATTAAGTTCATAGGGTACCTCTTGTCTGATACGTATCTCTATTTTCTTTGTTAATTCTAAGACTTAAATGCTTATACCTTTTCTTGCCACTTTCAGCAACACTCGTATGCCTACTGGGTGCCGTGATTGTTTGGCAGATACAAGATATGGCAATTAAAAGATCAAAACAGAATTCACAAACACAGCTAGCTCCTAAGACACATTGGAACTGAACGTGTATTCATGAAGGCTGGGATGGGGGCGGCAGGGGATGCCGGTTGGTCTCTCCTGCTGACCAGTAACACAGCAGCAGCTTGAGCTGGGGAAATATTTTTCCACACCTGCAAACAGAACCGTGTTAAATTAATTTTATGAAGTGTTTTATAAAATTGTGCTGCAATTTTTCAATAGTTCAATAACCAAAACATGGCAAATAAATCTGTGTAATATAATTGTCTACTGTATAATTTTATGCAAAGTGTCACTTAAAATACTAGATTTTGCACAGAGATTTTGCTGATGCAAAATACAATGAAAGGAAATGGGACCATCTGGATCTGATAATTCTTTTTTTAGCTGTGCAATAAACCCTCTACATTTTCCTGTCATGGAAGGTGCACCGTCTGTAGACACGCTTACTAAATTACTCAAATTCAGTCCAACATCACAACATTTATCTTGAAAGTTGTTTAAGATATCTCTTCCAGGTGTCTTCCCAGTAAGGGTGCCCAAAGTGAGCAATTATTCATAGCAAAGAAATTCCTCGGTTATGGCACAAATAAAGTATAATATCTGCACTAAGTCAGTAGTATCAGTTGATTCATCCAGAGCAGTTGAATAATAAATGTTTTCCTTTTGGATTATTGCGTGAAGTTGTTCTGTTAGGTTGAGGGTTGATTCATGCTGATGATCAGTAGGTTGAGGGTTGATTCATGCTGATGATCAGTTACGGTTCTTCTTGAAAGAGACAGTTGTTTGTACTTCGAAACATATCAAGGTTTAGGCATCCTACAGCTTCAACAATGTATATTTTTATGATTTCTATGTTAATAAATGGCCTACCCTTTTCCCAAGTATATAAGCTGCTATATAGGTTGCTTCAGTGGTATTCATTTTGAGCCCTAACATCGCTTGGAACAATTGCTGTTACTTTTGCTCTCCATCTTTCAGTTTTTGCAATGAAATCATTCATGCCTCTCCATCTAATTTGACATATTTTTGGTCCTTTTAGGTGGCATTTCTTCGGCAAAATTCTGATTCATTCAGAAGGCTGCTCTTAATACTCTAGAAAGCTGCAGGTTCCCCACCCTTGGGCTAGTGCAAGCACGTGTCATTGCGACTGGCTTGCATTACAAGCCACAATTTGTTTGCATGGTGTATGGTTTATAATGTGTGTGTGTGTAGGGGTAAAGCTATAAGAAAAAACTAGAGGTATAAGACCATGAGAACCACAGCATTAGTATTTTTGTGTATCAAGAATGCTTAATAAATAGGAATTACAATTACTTAAAGAAAAGTTCATAAGACATTACTCTGTATGGTATTCTTTTGTTTTTTAGTAGAGTGGAAAACCTGGTTTCAGTAGACCAGTGGATACTTAACCAAAGAATGGGTCATTGGCTAATAAAAACCTGTGTCAGGAGACGCTTTCTTGTTTCCTGATGAACAAAATATGTCTACTTAAGCGTTCACAGTAGTGATATCTAACACTCGCCAGCATAACAAATTTGATTGGTTGTCACTCATACATCCTTGATCCTTGACACTATAAAATAAAGAAAATTCCTTCATTCCTCAAATTGTTACAAAAAATTCAATGTTGCAATGGTCTACATTGTCTATCATTTAGGGCATAGGTTGCAGAGTTAGCCAGTTAAATGGGGTCATTTGACTGAAATATTGAGAAAGAAGGGGAAAAGATATTGAGAGGAGATGGGGACTCTTCTTTGATTGTTTGTACTGTGTGGTATATAGTACTGAAATAGACAAGAGAGAGACTTCCCATGATTATGTTAATGCAGTTGACCAATATCTACACCATAGTTTGCTTCAATGATGCTTTTTATTTTTTATAGGTTAGTCAGGAAGACCAAGGATTTAACGAATCAAGAAGCATGGCCAGTGAAAGAGCTTTTCTCCAGTGTAAGGACCTTGAGCCATCACCTGCAGCAGAAACTTCATTCGGCAAGGTAAAATAACTCCTCATTGTTTTATACACACAGCTATTTCTACTGCAAGAGCTGGAATTTGCAGTAACATAGGCAGCACAACTTAAGCAGTACTATTACAGCACCAATCATAAGGGTAGATCCAGCTCATGCCATGCAGATTGAAGTGAGTTTAACCCCTTGACTGTCGCAACCCCCAATCCTGAGGTCTCTCCTGGTGTCACAAAATTTCAAAAAAAAAAAAAAAAAAAAAAAATTATTTTTTCTTACGAAATGATAGAGAATCTTTTCCCGATTGTAATGTCACCAAAAAACGAAATTTGATGGAAAACTGACGGAATTATGCTCTCTCGAAGTTAGCAACCTCGGCGATGTATTTACAAATCGGCGATTTCGCCCAATTTGAGCCCTATTTTTGGCTAATTCCATTGTTCCAGGCGACCAAACTCATAGCTATTTCTTTAGAACTCCATTTTTTCTATCGATTGAGTACAAGAAACTGCCCATTTACCGATTTCAACTACCCAATAATGTGGTCAGAAATTTGCAATTTGGCCAATTTCACGAAAATTAAAAAATATGACAATTTCAAAATAAGGTCCAGAATGAACAATGCAGACATTCCTGGCTCTAAAATAACATTTTCTTTGTTCATCAGTCATGTCTCCAGGCCCCTCTGATATTACTCTTGCTTTCTATTTTGAATTTTTATTCAAACAAAAAATAGAAGACTTACTATTATGTAGACTACTGCAATACTGGAATAATTGTATAAATAACATCAACCCATTCATGACTGCATATTAGAATGGCTAGTTGGACATTTATTGGACAATGGCATCATTTGTTTACTTTTGAACATTGGCAAAAATCAAACATTTCCCCTACTTTGAGCTCCATTTCCAGGTTCTTTTTATAGTAAAATCAATCAAAATCACCTCTATTTCTATAATATGTTATCCATTCTATCAAATGAGACCAAGAAAACGAGAATACAACCATAAATACTATACGAAAATAGACCACAAAGTCGGCATTTTAATTAAAAAAATTGGTCAGAGTTTTATTTTTCTCATTGTGCACTGCGTGCTCCAGGATTTTTTTTTATATGGTGCACACTGACCACACAGACCCATTCTCTCACATGTGGGCCTACCAGCTTTCTCCTGCTTGATTTGAAGCCGCTAGAATTTATGAGTATATATACGTCAAACACGGTACCTCGTAAGACGTATATATACGGCCGCGACAGTCAAAGGGTTAAGGCTGTAACCTCTGCAGTCTGTGCCAAAAAAAAAAAAAGTTTGCTGCACAGTAACTGTTTGGAAATGGAAACAAAATACACAGTTCAGATATCTTTATTAGGAACTTGGAAAATACAAAGCATCAGTATCTAGTCATTTGACTGATAGCTTTCATTGTTTTTCATCCTTTTTTCATTGATACATGATTGGTGTAATTTTTTTTTTTTTTTTTTTTTTGCATTTCATGCCAATAATATTTTTTGCAAAGATTGTATCATAAAGGTAATGAAATCTCCATGTTGTTTTTATGTACATTAGATGAAATTTGTAGTTTTGTTTTTTAACCCTTTCACTGTTTCGGTCGTATATATGCACGTACATCTTACAAGTCAGTGTTTCGGACATATATATACTCAATAATTCCAGTGGCTTCAAATCAAGCAGGAGAAAGCTGGTAGGCCCACATGTGAAAGAATGGGTCTGTGTGGTCAGTGTGCACTGTATAAAAAAATCCTGCAGCACGCAGTGCATAATGAGAGGAAAAAAACTCCGACCTTGTTTTTAGATTAAAACTCCGACTTTGAGATGTATTTTCGTATATTATTTATGGTTGTATTATCGTTTTCTTGGTCTCATTTGATAGAATGGAAAACCATATTACAGAAATAGAGATGATTTTGATTAATTTCACGAAGAAAACAACCTTGAAACTTGAGCTCAAAGTAGCGGAAATGTTTGATTTTTACCAATGTTCAAGAGTAAGCAAATCACACCACACGTCCAATACACGTCAATTGGGTAGTCTGATATTCTTTCACTAGTGCACTGATCATATTTATACCATTTTTACAATAATGCAGTAGTCTGCATAACAGTAAATCTTGTTTTTTTGTGTGAATAAAAAATAAAAATAGAAAGCAAAAGTAATGTAAGAGGGGCCTGGAGACATGACTAATGAACAAAGGATATGTTATTTTAGTGCCAAGAGTGCCTGCATTGTTTATTCTGGACCCTGTTTTGAAATTGGCATCTTTTTTAATTTCCGGGAAATTAGCCAAATTGCCAATTTCTGACCACTTTATTGGGTAGTTGAAATTGGTAAATGGGCGGTTTCTAATGCTCAATTGTTAGAAAAATGGAGTTCTAAAGAATTGGCTATGAGTTTGGTCAACTGGAAAATAGGGCTCAAAGTCGGCGAAATCCCCAATGCGTATATATCGCCGAGATCGCTAACTTCGCAGGAGCATAATTCCGTAATTTCGTACTTTTGGTGTCATTACCATCGGGAAAAGATTCTCTCTCATTTCATAAGAAAAAAATAATTTTTATTTTTTTGACACCAGGAGATACTTCAGGATTTGGGGTTGCAACAGTCAGAGGGTTAAATGATAATGGAACCAATAAGATTTTAATGGTTGAAGAGGCTGTGAGCCGACATGTGAATGAAAAAGGCACAAAACTGGAGGCTGAAGGCAGTGAATTAATGATGATGGATTAATAATGTGGATTAAAATAAGGGTTGGATGTGAAAAGTGGGTCATAATAAGTGTGTATGCACCTGGAGAAGAGAGGAGAGAGAAAGATTTTGGGAGATGTTTAGTGAGTGTGTAGGAACTTTTGAGCCAAGTGGGAGAGTAATTATTGTGGTAGGGGACCTAAATGCTAAAGTAGGATAAGTGTTTAGAGAGGGTGATGTAGGTAAGTTTGGGGTGCCAGGTGTAAATGATAATGGGGAGCATTTGATTGAACTTTGTATAGAAAGGAGTTTAGTTATAGGTAACAAATATTTTAAGAAAAAGAGGATAAATAAGTATACAAGATATGATGTAGGGCGAAATGACAGTCGTTTGCTGGGCTACGTATTGGTAGATAAGACTGTTGGGTAGACTTCAGAATGTACATGTTTATAGAAGGGCCACAGATATATCAGATCCCTTTTTAGTTGTAGCTACAGTTAGAGTAAAAGATAGATGGGATGCAAGGAAAATGGAAGCAGCAAGTAAGAGAGAAGTGAAGGTTTATAAACTAAAGGAGGAGGCAGTTAGGGTAAGATATAAACAACTGTTGGAGGACAGATGGGCTAGTGAGAGTATAGGCAATGGGGTAGAAGATGCATGGGGTAAGTTTATGAATATAGTGTTAGAGTATTCAACAGAAGATTGTGGTTACAGGAAAGTGGATGCAGGAGGGAAGAAGAGCAATTGATGGAATGATGATGTAAAGAGAGTAGTAAAAGAAAAAAAGTTATCATATGAGAGGTTTTTATAAAGTAGATATGATGCAAGGAGGGAGGAGTATGTGGAGAGAAAAAGAGTGGGGAAGCAGTTTAAAAAGAGAGCAAATGAGAGAGAGTGGGTGAGATGTTATCAACAAATTTTGTTGAAAATAAAAAGTTTTGGAGTGAGATTAATAAGTTGAGAAAGCCTAGGGAAAGAATGGATTTGTTAGTTAAAAATAGGATAGGAGAGTTATTAAATGGAGAGTTAGAGGTATTGGGAAGATGGAGGGAATAGTTTGAGGAATTGTTAAATGTTGATGAAGATAGGGAAGCTGTGATTTCGGGTGTAGGGCAAGGAGGAATAACATCTTATACGAATGAGGAAGAACCAGTTGTGAGTATGGGGGAGCAGTGAGTAGAATGAAAGGGGGTAAAGCAGCTGGGATTGGTGGGATAAAGATAGACATGTTAAAAGCAGGTGGGGATATAGTTTTGGAGTGGTTAGTGTTTTTATTTAATAAATGTATAGAAGAGGGTAAGGTACCTAGGGATTGACAGAGAGCATGCATAGTTCCTTTGTGTAAAGACAAAGGGGACAAAAGAGAGAGTAAAAATTATAGGGTAATAAGTCTGTTGAGTATACCTGATAAAGTGTATGGTAGAGTTATTATGAAAGAATTATGAGTAAGATGGAGAGCAGGACAGCAGATGAACAAGGAGGCTTTAGGTAAGGTAGGGGGAGTGTAGACCAAGTGTTTGCAGTGAAACATATAGGTGAACAGTATTTAGATAAGGGTTAAGAGATTTTTGTGGCAATTGTGGATTTGGAAAAGGCATATGATAGGGTGGATAGGGATGCAGTGTGGCAGATGTTGCAAATGTATGGAATAGGAGGTAAGTTATTGAAAGCAGTGAAAAGGTTTTATGAGGATAGTGAGGTTCAGGTTAGAGTATGTAGGCAAGAGGGAGATAATTTCCCAGTAAAAGTAGCCCTTAGACAGGGATGTGTGATGTCACCATGGTTGTTCAATATGCAGATGCAGATTAATATAGACAAATGCAGAGTTCTAAATGTTGGACAGGATAATAACTGCTACATATAAACTAAATAATGTAGATCTTAATATTACTGATTGCAAAAAGGATTTGTTAGCAGTAATCTGAAACCAAGACAACAGTGCATAAGTGTTCGCAATAAAGCTAACAGAATCCTTGGCTTCATATCAAGAAGTATAAATAATAGGTTGTTCTTCATCTCTATATATCTTTGGTTAGGCCTCATTTAGATTATGCTGCACAGTTCTGGTCACCGTATTACAGAATGGATGAGTGCAATGGAAAACGTACAGAGGAGGATGACAAAGTTGATCCCATGTATCAGAAATCTTCCCTATGAGGATAGATTGAGGGGCCCCTGAATCTGCACTCTCTAGAAAGGTGCAGAATTAGGGGGGATATGATTGAGGTGTATAAATGGAAAACAGGAATTAATAAAGGGGATGTAAATAACGTGCTAAAAATATCTAGCCTGGACAGGACTCGCAGCAATGGCTTTAAGT